GTTTATTTTCGGTTTCACTGTTTAGTCCCTGTGATTAGCAGATTAGTCCGTGAACTTCGAGTAGCCACAACTTTTTAACCGTAGATTTAAACTCGATGAAACCAACGGCAAATTCTTCGTCATTTTAGATCTATCCAGTGCTATCCTTTTTGTAAAATTTTGTCCGATTCAAATTTGAATTTATTCAAATTCGAATTCGAACTTCAAATGGCCATATCTCCCAAACCATAGCTCCGATTAAGTTGATTCTTTTTGCACTTTGACACTGTAGCCAAACCTTATCACCTGGACCTTTGTCATAATAATTTTCACGCACTGGAATATGCCCATTAATATATATTTTTACTAGTAGGCATAGTATGCACTATAGTTCGCATCACTTTTTGAACCAAAGGCCTATGTTGTTTTGCACTTAGAATATTTTCATGCTAGTTAAGTGTGTTGTTCGTTCATTTGGTTATTCCGAGACATTTTGCTTTGCATGTTTCTTCTTGTTTCTCAGAAATGTTTGCTTATGTTTGTTTATCTTCTTTGCGATAGATTGCCCGAAGTGCAAAGCAGAATATTATCAGTCTTTAGAATTCAACCAGTGGTACCAAGGCAAGTTGCATCTTGACCATGTTACATTACCTATGTTATTATTATCCACTTAGTTCTTTGCGGTTGGACTGCATTGTAGGAATTGATGTCGTATGACTATGCTTTACACACAGTAGTTCATTGAGGCAGGTCTGAACCTTAAAACATTTTTGCCATCGTTTTACATTATGTTGCTTCGCTAAGTAGACGTGTATTGGGAGTGATCATTGTAAAGTATGAGTGACAATGTAGTAAATAGGACCTAAGATAATTAATGAACTACCTGGGCGGAAACTTGTTGGAATGGTGGCGAAGTACAGTGGGGCACACATGGGAAATCCATGGTGGTGCACCACTAGTGGATCGTCCGCTCAAGCTCAAAGAGATCAATCGTATTCTCATGTCTAGAAGCTTACGTGTGCAGCCACAAGCCAATATGGGCTCTGGCTTAGTTGAGTAGTTAGTGTGACCCCTTCCGAGATGGGCTAGAAAATGTGGAATGTTGTAGGTGTACTGGCCTATCCGTGGGTTAAGGGGGGGGGACATTTTCAAAAGACTATGTCTCGATCTTCCGATCATGGAGGTGGTCGAGTCTTGTGGGGAAAAGTGTGCAACCTCTATAGAGTGTCAACCTAATCGATTAGTCGTGTCCCCGGTTACGGACAACTTGAGCATCTAGTAGTGGAAATACCGGGAGATCTCCTCACCTTTAATTAAACAGTTGGGTTTTAAATGAAACTTGGGAACAGATGGTGCGCCATGATGTCTACTACACAACCTTCTTCTTGTAGACGTTGTTGGGCCTCCAAGTGCAGAGGTTTGTAGGATAGTAGCAAATTTCCCTCAAGTGGATGACCTAAGGTTTATCAATCCGTAGGAGGCGTAGGATGAATATGGTCTCTCTCAAGCAACCCTGCAACCAAATAACAAAGAGTCTCTTGTGTCCCCAGCACACCCAATACAATGGTAAATTATATAGGTGCACTAGTTCGGCGAAGAGATGGTGATACAAGTGCAATATGGATAGTAGATAATAGTTTTTGTAATCTGAAATAATAAAAACAACAAGGTAGCAAGTGATAAAAGTGAGCGTAAACGGTATTGCCATGCGTTGAAACAAGGCCTAGGGTTCATACTTTCGCTAGTGTAAGTCCTCTCAACAATACTAACATAATTGGATCATAAAACTATCCCTCAACATGCAACAAAGAGTCACTCCAAAGTCACTAATAGCGGAGAACGAACGAAGAGATTATGGTAGGGTACAAAACCACCTCAAAGTTATTCTTTCCAATCAATCCGTTGGGCTATTCCTATAAGTGTCACAAACAGCCCTAGAGTTCGTACTAGAATAACACCTTAAGATACAAATCAACCAAAACCCTAATGTCACCTAGATACTCCAATGTCACCTCAAGTATCCGTGGGTATGATTATACGATATGCATCACACAATCTCAGATTCATCTATTCAACCAACACAAAGGACCTCGAGAGTGCCCCAAAGTTCTACCGGAGAATCACGATGAAAACGTGTGCCAACCCCTATGCATAGGTTCATGGGCGGAACCCGCAAGTTGGTCACCAAAACATACATCAAGTGGCACGTGGTATCCCATTGTCACCACAGATATCCACGGCAAGACATACATCAAGTGTTCTCAAGTCTTTAAAGACTCAATCCGATAAGATTACTTCAAAGGGGAAACTCGATTCATTACAAGAGAGAAGAGGGGAGAAGAAACATCATAGGATCCAAATATAATAGCAAAGCTCACGATACATCAAGATCATATCATCTCAAGAACACGAGAGAGAGAGAGAGATCAAACACATAGCTACTGGTACATACCCTCATCCCCGAGGGAGAACTACTCCCTCCTCGTCATGGAGAGCACCGGGATGATGAGGATGGCCACCGGTGAAGGTTCCCCCCTCCGGCAGGGTGCCGGAACAGGGTCGTCGAGAGTGGTGCCCGGGGCACGGGGCACTTAGAGTGCAACCGTTCCCAATGTCCCACGACTCCCGACTAGTCCAAGCCTTACAAGGTCCCTCGGACTCAGAGCTCTCGGCCTTCATTTGCGCTCTTGAAGGGGATTGGAAGGAGAGAGTGACCCTCCACTTAGTGTATTCATGTGAAATTGAGTGAGTTACATGCCCATGGGGTGCTTTATATAGCCTAGGAGTCCTTGACAAATGAAGTCTACCCTTGAGTAAAGAGGTCAGAAGGTAGAACTAGGTAACTTTCCATCATTTAGCCCATAGGGTTAAGGGGTGGGTTGTAGCCTATTAGAGGGAAAATCCCTACACTAGGAGGGGCCTTCTTACTTGGGCTTAGGCTTCTTTGCTCTTGTCTCCTCTTTGGACTTATTCTTTCTTGGGGTCTTCTTTCTTTGACTTACTTTGACTATTCTTCACTGGTGGTGTGGCACTCCACGTAGGACATAGGAGTGGCACTATAAGTGGGACTAAAATCCTCTACTACAACATAACGAAACTATGGCAAAAAGAAAGTGACTAAGTACAGATATGCAAATATGGAGGACAAGCTCCATGGAACCCGTTATTAAAAAAGAATAATCAAATTTCATAGTTTCATGGTTTCAAAAAGTTCAGAAAACAACCATACACCTATACACATATATAAGGGTGTAATGTATATGTGTGTAAAATTTCACGATGAATTACGTTGAATTGCAAGCTGCACAAAAAAATTCATGGACTTCAAGAGTAAACAGTGCATGTCATAGAAAGCCACATATTTGTTTTCCTTTTTTGTAGCTCTCATTTTAACATATTTGATCATGAAAATTTACACACATGTACATTACATCTCTGATATATGTGTATTTTTCAGAGTTTTCTAAAACATAAAAGTATATTTTTCAAATTGTTCAAAATTTAGGCTCCATGAGCCCAAGTTCCATTTAACATTTTTCGCAAATATGTAGATTCCAAGTCATATATGTTTAAATTGTAAGATGTAGAGATTTAGTTCTCATAGTTCGTGCCATTTGTAATCAAATTATAGATACAAAATATTCTATGATTGGATGCTCTATACTATACAAAATCCATGTGAAACATATGCATCACTTTTGTCTTATAATTATCTCATATTGTAGTTTTGGGTAGAAAATAGAATGAATAGACAAGTATTGCAGAGAGAATCAGGCTTTATGAAGGCGATGTCATAGCCTTGAACCAAAATAAAAATCGGTAAACAAAAATGAATGCCGATTCTTCTAGAAAAAAACTTGGAAGAATCATAGTACAGACTACATAGTAGTCTAGAATAAATGGAAAATGCCTATTTTTTATGCAAATTGTGCATTGTAAATAACAAAGCAAAAATAGATGACAATAAGAGAAAAGTTGGAGAATTATAGCATGGATGAGTCTGGAACAAAAGAGTTCATTGTTTTGATATTTGTGCACATTGTATAGTGGAGTATATACCATCCACTCCCTTGGAATAATCCAATGTAGTCAATATTCAAGCACTGCTCGGATTCACCACCTCTCTACAGTTGGATTGGGTTTATCCAACTGTCAATATTCGAAGATATTCTTATAGTGTATAGTGGTATGGCATTGTTTTGAGGTTGGTGCATATTGTGCATTGTACTTGAGCCCAAGCACAGAAACTTCTAGGTAGCACACATGGAAATAATCCAGTGTAGCCAAGAGGATATCCTACGGCCAGGACTGCTCGGATTTGCCACCATTGGATCATGTTTATCCAACAGTCAATATGCAAAGCTATTCGTATTGCATAGTGGTATCAACATAGAACATCTAGCAATGAGTTTTTCCTCAAGAAACTTCAGCCTCACCAAAACACAAACACGTTATCATTGTCATCAAAATGGAATAGCACTATGACAATCAAGAGCACAGTATTAAGCACAAAATCTATAAGTAAACCAATAAAATCCTCCATCCAGCAATGGCTCAATGCTGTCAGGTACCTTAAGTACCTAAGCAACGAGCATAATTACAACCATCACAAGATGGGGCCAGACAACTGGAATCAGATGGCACCAACTATAAATAACCCTGATCATACTGTCAGGTGCCCAACCAACAGGACATAGCAACATATCACAGTGGTGTATGTACATCGGTGAACATCAACTATAAATAAGTATCCCCACTTGTGAATATACCTGAACCTAACGCGGATGTTGTTTGCACGATCAATTGGTGGTATGCACTCAAATACCCCGCTGGTCTTGTGGTATCTTCTGCACGTGTCCTCCGGCAGCAAGAGGCTACAAAAAGATTGCCGTCCAAACAAGATCGGTGATACATACAACAATATAACTCCAGGCGATAATGAATCCAATTTCCCCATAAGGGAGACATTGGCATCCACACAATAGCCCATTCATGGGTCAATAACGTATCAGTATAATATTCTACTCTTCCTCCTCCACTTCAGGCGGTAATGTTGGGCTTTTTGAGCACAAAGTTGTGTTGTGCAGCTCCTTTATTTTCTCAATGGGGTTACAAGAGCCTGCAAATAAATAAGGAATGCTTTAACCATGTGTTGGAGTGTCAAGAATGGACTCGAGCCACAAAAGAAGGCATGAGGTGTGTCAATCAAAGACATTTTGCATTGTACAATCAGACCTTGATCTATACCGATAGGCTTGAGATATGAAGAACATTATAACGAAACTGAATAACAAATACATCTAGGTACAATTACATATAGAAATGAGAGATGGTAGCATAATTAGCAGTATGGTCATTCTCTCCTTCAGACGTTATGACTAATATTTTAGACAAGTAGTTCACCAAGGACATACCTGAACATATCTTGCTGTCCCATACAGCAATGGAGCTGGGAGTGCATGTGGAATCACACATTGCACGGTTGTCTTCATGATTTACATTCATGGCAAGCATCCATGAGCCAATAGTAACATCCTCATAATCAAACATCCTTAAACTGGGAAATGCATATAGTAAATCAACGACTATGTAAACATTTAAAACATAACAGTGTGGGAAAAAGATAACAGCCGATCAAGAAGATGTATTCAACTAAGGGAGCAACTAGGGGGAGGGTGACATCTGAGAAGTGATCAGGCATTCCCACATGACACGTGTCATGTGAAGGGCAACCCCTTGTCTTACCTATGGTTTTTCTTGGTTTTTTGTCTCTGCGGTTTAACTGCTGTATAGCTGGATTTTTTTTCCTTGGGTCTTTTACTTGAAAGCAACATTCGAAGTAGAGCGTGCTAACGGATAACACAGATTCACGATTTCTACTTTTGTATAGATAATGAATGGGAGACATAGGTTAAAATGCACATTCGTCGAAGGCAACATTCAGCATAGCAACCGCCATCGGTTGCACCAGCTCATAGCACCTTTGGCGCAGAATCATGACGCCCCTGACTCAAAAAGAAGATCACTAGAAATATGAATATATTTCCACCAAAGCATATCAAAACGGGGTCTAGCTTTAAAGATCTACATGAGAGATAGTGGAAACATCCATTACTGGATGCTCAGTTCAAACGTTGTTTTGTTTGTATTTTTGCTTCTGAACATAAAAGCACAAGAAAAAATTGGACGGCCTCCCCAAACAAACTAACCGTGCCCTCCATGCTCGCTATGTATCGTTGTTTTCTAGGTTCTGATGGTAGAATGGCATGCCGGAGACTTGGAGTGTAGGCTGACAGTTTTCCGACCACTAGGAGCCATTTTCCACCCTTATGTATATACTCTGTTTAGCAGCATGCCACATCTGCCTGAAATGGTGGATGTGCCGTTCACAATTCCCTGCTTGCAAGTTGCAACTCTCATACCATAGTGTTAATTATCTTGCCTCTGTGCGCCCCTTGGTTTTCCCCTGGAAGGGTCCCACCTTAAATATCTCTCTTATGTTCATGATTTTCTTTTTTCAGATCCACTCTCCACAACAGAACTAACTTGCGCAATAGGCTTCCCTAAAAAAACTTGCATAATGGGCTTGAAGCCTGGAATGCTTCATTGGAAATCAAAACCATAATTTAGTATTGATTATTGGCGTTAACATACCAGTAGAGGATCAATAAGGTTAAGCTTATGCCAAGTGTAAAAAGGGTCATGCTTATGTCCTTCAGTTGGTTCTTAACGTACAATACCAGATGGTAAGATTAATAATCTACTTGCCACCATGGCTAATAATAAACCGATACAATCACATTAGCAAGTATAAAGGCTATCACTGGGAGTTACTGCTTCTCCACGCATAAATTATCTTATATGTTTTCTCATTGTGAAGTACTAAAACAGAAAGCATGAGGCCGAACTTCTCTTATCACTGACAACTACTCCCTCTGTCCGGAAAAGGTTGTCCTTCAAATGGACGTATCTAGCATCAAAATATTTACTTTTAATGTACAAATTATGCCATTAGATTTGTCATTTGAAAGACAAGGTTGGGACAAGCTTTTCCGGACGGAGGGAGTAATTAACAAAGAAACTACTCAGATTCTTTTAATGTACAAATTATGCCATTAGATTTGTCATGAAAAATTATTTCAAAATATTTACTGACATATCCATATAAAAAGCAACAATGGAAGTTGTATCTTGGAGACTATCCATATCTAAAGTATCATATATTTTGGAACAGAGGGCGTAGGTTGGCTGTGTTCGTACTTGGTGGGTTCCTCACCACCACCGTACCAGATCATTAATGATGGATATGCACATGCGATTTGGAGAACCTTCTGTGCAAAATGGAGTTATCTGAGCACATGTGCATGCATGCCATCTATGATATGATTATCTGCAGCTTGCTGATCACATTCAAACTGGTATGCAGTTTTAAAAATTAGGAGCAATTATTTGTGCATGATGAATACGTCGCCAAACATAATGTTAGCTATAACCAACTGTATTTTGTGCATGATGGACTTCATATGGTTGATGTTATAAGGCCGTTCTGGTGTTTTGGCGGAAGACTGTTGGCCACTTGAGGTCAGGGTCTCTCCTGTTGAGAGTGCAAAACTTACCCTCCTATTCTCGCCTGAGGAGGTTGGTCGGGCGATTGCGCAGATGAAGGCTAGTTCAGCATCTAGGCCGGATGGCCTGCCGGTTGCTTTCTTCCAAAGGTTATGGGTGCAGCTTCAGCCGGTGATTATGCCGATGTTCCATGAATTCTATATTGGGACATCAGACATGTCCCGCCTGAACTTTGGTGTCGTTACCGTAATCCCCAAAATAGTTGGGGCAACGGATATCCAAAACTTCAGGCTAATTACAGTGATTAATGTGCTACAACGGATTGTCTCTAAGGTGTGTGCGACGCAGTTTGCCCCGCTGGTGGAACGCCTCTCTCACCCCTGCTAGTCCGCCTTTCTGAAGTGGCGTCGTATTCATGGGGGAATTCTAACTCTTCATGAAATCATTCATGAGGTGAAGGTACAGTGCCAGAAAAGTGTATTCCTTAAGTTGGACTTCCAAAAGGCATATGACCCCCTTGACTGGTCTTTCCTTCGCTTAGTTCTTGAGCAAATGGGCCCGATGGCCGTTGGTGTTCCTGGATCATGCAGTTGATCAGAGCGGTAGCACCGCAATTAATATTAATAGGCAGGTTGGCCCCTACTTTAGGTCTTCTCATGGGGTGAGGCAGGGGGATCCTATCTCCCCTCTCCTCTTCAACCTGGCAGTTGACGCCCTTGTGGCCATCCTGGATAAGGCTAGGATGGCCGGCCACATCTCCAGTGTGGTTGGGCATATTGTCCATGGAGGTGGTGTTACTCACCTCCAATATGCGAATGACACCATGATCATGGTTGAGGGTCGGAAATTGATATCATTAACCTCAAGTTCCTATCCTCTGCTTTGAGGCCATGTCGGGACTTCAGATCAATTTCGATAAGAGTGAGGTTGTGGTATTAGGGTACTCTGTCAACGATCAGCAGCGGATTGCGGACAACCTTAATTGCAAGTTGTCCTCCTTCCCCATTGCGTAATTGAGGATGCCGCTATCTAATTCGAGGGTCCCCCTCTGGGAATTTGACCCACTTATGGGTCGTGTTGTGTCTAGGTCTGCACCATTGTGCGGTAGATTTACTTCCAAAGGGAGTAAATCCATGCTTATCGACTCGTGCCTTTCTAGTCTCCCCATGTATATGATGGGGCTATATATTTTGCCTGCAGGGGTGCATAGCTCCTTTGGTAAGAATCTATCGCGCTTCTTCTGGCAGGCGACTGATGGACGTCACAAATACCATATGGTCAAGTGGGCTGATATTTGCTTGCCCAAGGACCTAGGGGTTCTAGGTATTCTTGTGTCCCGTCGCATGAACATGGCCCTTTTGTTGAGATGGGTTTGGAGGATCCTCAGAGAGGATGGGGCCTGCGGCTGCAGCTTATTAAAGCAAAGTATTTGCAGGACCGCCCAGTTCTTGCCTGTGATCATAGGGAGGGATCTCAGTTCTAGAAGTCGATTAAGTCCATCAAGAATGAGATCCGTCTTGGGCTCTCTATCTCCATAGGCAATGGAGATGGGACCCTCTTCTGGCTGGACCCTTGGGTGGGTGGATCTCCACTCTGCAATGATTTCCCTGCCTTGTTTGCTATCTGTGCAGATCCGATGTTGTTGGTGTCCTTGGCCACTCACAATGGGATTTGGAACGTCTTGTTCCGTCGCACATTCGGCCCAAGGAAACCATTGCTTGGGCCAGCCTTCGGGCAGCCCTTCCGTCGATGCTTCCGGATTATCCGGACGTCATATCTTGGTGCCTGACCCCTTCGGGGTTCTTCTCTGTTGGCTCAGCATACCACGCCTTGTGCCGGTGACCAATTCTTGCATGGACCACACCTTTGTGGAAAGTGCCCCTTCCTCTGAAGATCAAGATCTTCGTGTGACAGCTTTTGCGGGATCGCCTCCCATCGGGGACGGAGGTGATCAAGCGGAATGGGCTTGGCGATGGATTACATCCTCTTTGTGGTGTCCCCAGACTAGGACCCACATCTTCTTCGCCTGGTTAGCTGCTTGATTCTTTTGGTGCTTTGTTCGTGAGGCTCTGGGGCCTAACTGAGAGGCCCTGACCTGGCAGGGTTTCTCGAAAACTCACGCCAACCAGACAGATAGAAGGAGACGCCTCTTCTGGTTAGTGTTCGCAGCGATGACCTGGACCCTCTAGAAGATGTTTAACAAGATGGTTATTGAGAGGGTCTTCTTACGGCAGGCCACAGACTATTCAAATTCTTGGCCTTTTTGCAGCACTGGCACCCGCTCTCTAGGCAGCGGGATCAGGACCAGCTTGGCAGCATGATGGACGCAATGACTGGCAGCTCGTCGTCTTGCCCCGACTCATAGCGACTGATCTATCGGCCACTTGGTGGCTTTTTTCCTCTTATTTTATTACGGCATGTTTGTGTTGTTGCCCCAACAAACGTATTTTCACTTTTCTCGCACTTGAGCTTGTTGTATGGACTTGGTGGTTGCTTTATCTATAAAGCGGGGCAAAAGCTTGTTTTGATAAATTTAACATGTTTGACTGAGTGCAAATTGTGAGTTCTCATTGCAACACAAGTGACCTAATCATGGGAAGCTTACATTTTGGTAGTTTAGTATTGTGCCATTGTTTATTTTAGATCTACTGCAACACGCTAGAACTAGGTTAGAAACATAAACAATTCATCACTAAACAACTATGTAAGATGATAATATGTGCAAGAAACATCTGTTAACTCCTTGCCTCCTTGGTAATGTATATTATGTTCAGAGTGACGCGAGCTATCATACGCTTTCACTCTACAGGCCGGAAAAAAAAGATAAACAACTAACCTATCATTGTTTGTAGTAGCTATAGCTCCCACCACTTCTGAAGAAAGAGCATACAGTGAACCAGATGCATGCATGAAGTACTCATTACCTAATAATCCATATGAACTTTCATACCTGTCATGAAATAATAACATAATCAATGAACAAGATAGTTCAAAACCTTCATAGCTGAAATAACAATAGATGCCATGGATACTAGTATGACTTACATGGAAAACTAATTGGACTTGCATTGAAAACCAATTGCTTTTTCAGAAAAATTGACATATATGCAAATATAAATTTCGAAGTTAGAACCAATTCAAGTTTCCACTAACCATTTCATATTCGGATCACTGACAACCGGTCCCTTCTTCATGCAACCAATATAAGTCCGGTGATGAAGTCGGTCCTTTGCAAGGAGAGCAGCAAGTCTATCTGGCGCAGAAATGTGACATAATTACATATCACAGAGCTAACTATCTAAACAACAGTTTTGATACATTGTAAATCACAAAATTTACCTGGGCGCAGATAGATAGTATCATCAGCTTTGACGTAAAATTCTGCGTGGAACATGTCATAAGCTGCTTTGAAATATGCTAACCTATCACATGAGCAATCAGTAGGTAAGATTTACAAGATGCAAGTTCACAGGTAGAAATACAAGATTACAGAGTGTACAGAGCTTACATCTTCTCTGGGGGCTTCGTACCCTCATCAGCATCAATAAACAAGAAGTCATGATACATGTCTACCTCTTTCTGAAGATCTGCCATTTTTTCTTTGTCCTTCGTCCTTCCAATGACAAACCTAAAAGATAAACCAAATCCATGTTCCAAACTGCAGGAGCAGTGGAGGGCCAGTGAGCATAAAAATGATTCAATGTATTCTTTACTATTAAAGCGTTAAAAGTAGGGGAACTGCAACCATGTAACCGATGAATGGATTTAATTAGAGATGACATGTTTCCATTTATAGGTAATAGTTACAGTGTGCTCAAACTAAAGTAACTAACCATTTTAGATAAAAAGATCATATCAGATAAGCTAGAAACGTTATTATAGTAAAATTGGTGCTCTCAAAGTGATGAGAACACCCCAAATGAAATGCCTCCATCCAAAATGATGATTGAGGACATCCATAATGACATGCCTCCAACTCAAGTAGGGCCAATGACGATGGCATGTGCCAAACAACTCGAGCAATAGGTGAGTCTTCTCATACTTGAGTCTCCCGCTAATCTACATATGAATGGATGCTATTTGGTACATCAACTTTGTCTATCCTTAGGTTTGAGAAGCTAAACACGGACAACAAAGAAGCTGAACAGGGAAGACATGCCCCCAGGCATGTCCTGGGTCTGGGTGTGCAGCAAGGTATCAGACAAACCAAAACGAATTTCAGCTGCCCAAGTGGCTTTTATAATGGGCGAAACACTTTGCACAATAGCTAGGGCTGAAGTAGAGAGTACAATTAAGAGGAGACAGCCTTTTTTGTAGTCAGACTTGTTTTAGGAAGAAACTAGTTGAGCTTTGCTCTCCTATCCTAGGGTTTTGACCATCCCCTCCACCTTAGTTCTTGCATTTCCTTGTGTTTGTAAGAATTGAAGAGTCTCTTCCGGTGGAAATCGAGATGTCCATCAACTGTTTTGTTGGTTGAGTTCACTGTCAAAGGCTATCACATTGGTGTGTGTTCTTGACATTTGGTTCATCAGGCAAAGCAAGTTATCCTTTCCTAGCGTGAAGATCAGGCCAAATCCGGGGGCCTTCCCCATCACGAAGAAACATGCTGAGCCCTATCAGAACAGGTTACGGTTAATATTAAATTATATGTCCACCAATAGTATACATCCCTTTCTAGTAATGCATGTCAGTCAATACAATTATACAACAATTCAAGTATAGTTTCAAGAGAAGTAAATAGCCATACTTAATGAAAGCACTTTCTAAAATATGGAAGTTCTTTATCATGATAAAACCTCATATATATCCACAAGCAGACGACAAAGAAACATGGCAAATAAATCCTGCTAACCAAGACGCCAACACAGTTTTACATTTAAAGCGACGAAAATGAAGTTTGTTAACTGGTGTATTTTACAATTTTGTATCAGGTCACCTTGCTTTTTAATGTTTATTACATCGCTTGGTCACAAAGCAATCGATTGCATCTGAATTCACTTGATAAGAGGAAAACAATTTGTAGGAACCAGGTCCCCGCTGGCTTTAGAATACAGCAATATGGGAATTAACGGGTTGTCCAAAGTAAAGGACCAGCTAGTGGATAGCTGGGCTGATTATGAATATGAGGCCACATAATTGGTGACCCAGCTTTTTCCCTTTCGAGAATCAGTGGCATTTGCAGGTTGGTGACTGCTTACTTCAATCGGTGGGTCTTTTTTACTCTTCGTGTACAATTGTATAAATTTCAGGGAAGTTCTAATATGTTCCAGTTCATAATGTGTGTGCATATTAAAAAAAAAGATATGCTCAGATATGGGGCGTAAATTTGAAATTCCACTTATAGCTTGTGAACATTCTGCTACATAAATCAAATGATGGAACTGCAGATTGGTATTGCATCAGAGTTTTCAAGTCTCACCTCATTTGGTCACACGGAATGTAGGTCAAGTTACCAATAATTCACAGAAGAAATTTCCCTACAAATATTATTATGCTATATTTATTGTGACTAATCTTAAAATACTACTAGGTCTACAAATAATGTGAGCAAAAAAAGGTATATATGCCTAACTGCCAAAGCCAAACTGGGAAAAATGAGCCAGTGCTGAAGATGGTAAGACCCATTCCAACCCGCACTGCTACCAATCAAACCAGAAAATATAAGATTGCAACAAACCATTCACAAAAATTACATCAATTTACTGGTTATTAGAGGGTGTTTGTTTTCAGGAATTTATTGGCTTAGGACTTAAAAAAGTTCATATAAGTCCCATCTAAACCAAACAGGAGGGACTTATAGGGACTTAAAATGGGCATTTGGGACTTATGAAATAAGACTCTCAAGGAGGGACTTATAGGGACTTATAGTTGTAATATGGTCTTGTAGGGACTTATAAGTCCCAGGAACCAAACAGGTAGGGACTTTTTAGGGACTTGAGACTTATAAGTTGGGACTAAAAAAAGTCCTAGGACTTATGAACCAAACAGGGTCTTAGTACAGCCATAGTACGGAGTGGGGATAATTGGTGATTCAAAATTCAAACAGATCTCGCATTAGTCGAAGCTTCGTAGAGCAATGCAGGTGAAAGCAACTATAGGCATCGTCTTATGAGATCCACATGAAGGTATAAGCTTCTCTAGCAGCAAACTACAGCAAAAAAACATCTAACCAGATCCAAGTAGGATGAATGGAGAATCATATGGAACCTTACGACGCCTTCAGGGTTTGGCGGGAACCAGGTGGCACGGAGCGCAGCACGGCGGGCGGCGGATCCGAGCTCAGTGTGGACGCCAACGACAGCGAGCACCTTTTCTCTGTCGCCGGCTGAGTAGTTCCCGGAGGAGGCGAGGAAGGAGCGTAGGGAGTCCTCGGCGCGGCCACAGCGGAAGGCGACGGAGTCGGGAGGCGACTGGAGTGGCACAGGGCGGCGGCTAACGGACACGGCGAAGGAGAGGGAGGCCACGGCGAGTAGGAGGCAGACGACGGCGAAGGGGAGGAGGAAGCGGTGGGGGGAGGCGGCGGAGGCAGGGGAGGAGGGAAAGCTGGAGGGGACGTATGGGCGGCGCGGCTTCGCCTCGTCGTCGGAGCGGTGGTAGGGGAGGACGTCTTCGTCGTGGTGGTGGCGGTGCTTCGGGTGGTGGAGCGGCATTAGGTGGGACTTTGGAGAAGAAGGACCGAGGGTTTTCGGAGGCTGATGAGTTCGTATGATCTGATCTCGATCTATATTAAGATCAGTGCAGTGTTCAGCTCAAAAAAGAAAAAGACCAGTGCAGTGTTTGCTTTGGGTTCAAGTAATGCTTACCGACAATAAAATTGAGTACATAATCAGAAATAACGATATATTATACTCACTCTGTTCATAAATTACTGTCATAAAAAATATGAAGTACGTGTCTTTCTGGGCTCCTCACACATAAAGAGCATTTCGAGACGTCCGTTCCATGATGGCGTGCCGTGGGGGCCTTTTGGGGATGCATCGAGCCATCCGACCAGGCTGGGCGGTCCATGACGGGTGGACCATAGGGCGCGATTAGGACCACCGTCATTGTACGGCCTTCGTCGCACAACTACCCGCTCGCAAAGGCCTAGCTAGGCCCGCCTGTCAGCGTCCGCCATCAGTAATCCGGCTGGTCCAATCGCGTCAGTCAGGGTGTGCGTTGCGCCTGCTTGCGCTGGCTCACTGTGGGGGCCTCTCCGGGGTACTCCGAGTCCTCTGATCTGCCCGGACGGTGTGGACACGCACAACCCGGCTGGGTGGTCCATGACGAGTGGACCGCGTGGCGCGTCTGAGGCTACTGTTATTCGACCCCTCCCTCAGGTGGGTCGCCCGGGGTGCACGCTCGCGGGAGCCTTTTAGCGTGCTGGCCCGCACGCGAAGGGCCAGCTGAACCCGCATGTTTGCGTCCTCGCCCCGTACCGAGTTGGTTTGGCCGTGACAGGAGGTGATGCTGAGCATCCCAAGGTCATCCCCATGGACCTATCATCGTCTCACCAAGTGCCAAGTGGACTCATGACACAAGCACGTGCAAGAGCTCTCGAAACCGAGGTGACATCTCTCCTCTCGCAATTCCTCTTTGAAACATATGAGACATGGCTACTACCTCAAACGGAGACACTTTGTATACTCAAGTACCAAGGAGTTAGCCATGGAGAAGCTAAGGAGCAAGGTGAATCGGAGGAGGAAGACGAACGCGAAGACGAAGAAGAGAAAAACAAGACAGAAGATGCCCGGATGATCCGGACCGCCGTCCGGACGATCCGGCCCCAGCCCGGATGATCCGGACCGCCGTCCGACGATCCGGCCCCAGCCCGGACGATCCGGACCCTGCCCCGGATGATCCGGCTACAGCGCCCAAATCTACATTAGGCCTCCCCGCAAAGCCGGACGGTCCGGACCGACTCCCGGATCATCCGGACCCTCCCGGACGTCTGGGCCATCTCCCGGTCATCCGACCCCCCTCGACGGCTACGACACATCCGAACGATCTGGACGGCCACCCGGATCATCCGGACCCCTGACACCCGGATCATCCGGGCCACCATCCGGATCATCCGGACTACCACCTGCGTGTGCGTTTTGGGCCGAAGCCCATGTACCCTTCTGTCCCCCTAGCCTATATAAACGCCTCCACCTCCACTTTTCTAGGGACAGCAAAGGATAGCTCATTTTAGAGATAGATCTTTGCTCACCCACTTGATACATACTCCATTGGAGATTGAGGCCTCCGTGGAGAAGATCCCAAGTGGATTCAAGACCCTGCAAGGGAAGATCCCCTCATGGATTTAAGACCCTGTCTCCAGATCTGAAAGAACTATTGCCTCTTGTATCGTCCTTTGTTCCGTTTCAATCTTGTATCACTCTTTGTGTTCATGGATCTAGCACATGTGTGATTGTTCTCGTTGATTTGAGTGTTTCCCCTCGTGTTTCCCCTCGTGTGTTCGTCGTGTTCTTCGTAGATCCCCAGCATTTCATGAAAGATCGGACCTAGGGTTTTCACCCTACATCATCTTGGTATCATGACCCTTGGTTGATAACGAATTTGGAACCCCTACCCCTTGCTTTTCTAGCCTAATTTTGTTGATTTTGTCCCAATTTCGAAAATTCACCACAAAAATAGCCCCAATTTTTTTGTGATTTGTTGGTATGATGAAGTTTTGTTGATTTTGATCTATTGATTCTTTGTGTTGCAAATGGACCTCACCTTTCCCCGCCATCTCCACCACAAAATCCATAAAAAATCCTCGAAATCTATGAATTTCTCCCCATTTTCGAGGTCATCCTGAGCCTCACCCGCGCGCAGTTAACCTGCCTGGATCATCCGGACCAAGTCCCGGATCATCCGGACTCGCCCGGATCATCTGGCTTCCACTGTCGAAACTGCATTTTCTGCACTTTTTCTACACCGCCATTTCCGCCACCGCATTACCACTTCGACCTCCACCATCCCACTTCTGCTAACCCCTCGCCACCATCCCACTTTCGCTAACCCCTCGCCACCATCCCACTTCCACTAACCCCTCGGCATACCCAACCGTAGCACCGCTTTCCGCTACCACCATTTGGCCATTTGCTTTGAGAATTTGAGTTGTGGTTCTCCGTTTCCTAGGGTGTTTTGGCTAACTAGGAACGGTTCGGCTTCGACATCACCACCGCTCATCTTCGCCAACGACTCGACATCGACAACACCCCCTTCACAATCTTCACACCCTCGACCATAAGCAAGGATGGTAACTTCAACGACACTTTTGTGTACTCCTTGCCATTGCATTGATAACCCCATAGCCAATTTTGCGTCACTTTCCTATCGAGACTAGCCATTGAGTATTGCCGGCAATGTTACTTGTGCACACTAGTGATCATTGCATATCTCGCATCATCTTTGTAGCGACCCGACCCGAATGGGTCAAGTCTCTGTGCTTACGTGTCATCCCTGGATCGGTATGCTGACACACACAGTACTCGAAGGATTTATAACAGAGGTAAATCACATGTATAAAGTAACGTAAATACTATTACCTCAAACCAAAATAGCGGAAGCAACAAGGTTGTGGATTCCCATCAACACCAACGGCAAAGTTGAGTGTAGAAATCGTAACCCTAACGTATCACTTACTCGTCATAAGATAAACCTGCAACATGAGACGTTGCAGCCCGAAACGGGTCAGTACATTGAATGTACTGGCAAATTCACACCAAAGAGAAAATGATGAACAATGGCTATCACTATATGCATATATGGCTGGTGGAAAAGCTCTATGGTTAATAAGGGTTTTTGCGTAAAGCCAGTTTTTCCCTACTTCAAAGGAATAAGTTTATTTAACTATCATGGTGGTTGTTGAACATTGAGAATGGTTGACAGCATTCTCAATCCCAATTAAAAATAATTAAAACCCAACAACATTAATTGGAAGTAACATGTTGAGATTCACTTGATATTCAAGTACTAGATACTCAAGTTGTCCATAACCGGGGACACGGCTAATCATGATTAGTTTGTACACTCTGCAGAGGTTTGCGCACTTTTCCCCACAAGACTCGATCGCCTCCGTTGGATTTCTCGCACTACATGGTGTTTGAGAAACGGATGACCGAGACATAGCCTTTCAGAAGCGCTAGCACCTTACGATTGGGTAGACCGGTACACCTACATCCCCTACATCTGCTAGTCCACCACTATAAGAGTTCGCACAACTTAGTCAACTATGCCAGAGCCCATAATGGCTTGTGGCTGCACACGGAAGTTTCTAGCATGAAAGATCTTATGATCCCTTTGAGCCTGGGTGGCGGTCCAAAAAAAACAGGCAAGTCCTGATAGACATCATGTGCCTCAATCCACCCAGATGTGTGTTTAAGTTGCCACCTTAAATAAACCATTAAAATTATCAACTCACATCTGTCATGGATTTCACTCACCCAATCCACGTCTACTAGCATAGCATGGCATAATAAGCAAATGTAGAAGTAACTCCCAAAGGTTTCATAATAATACAGGTAATAGGTACTACCTCAACTACTTCTCATCCCACAATTTAATTAGATCCTAATCATGCAATGTGTGAGGATTGATCTAATGCAATAAAACTGGGTTGTAGAAAAGGTATGATCAAAGTGTGAACTTGCCTGCAAGGTTGATGAAGATGATTCGCACTCAAAACTCTTGATAGATCTACTCGTCACACTCCGGTCAATCTATCGTAAGCAAACAATAGTAACCACGCAATAAGTACTCATCTAATGCACAGGTAAAACTCGAACAAGAGAACGAACCAGAAAATTCAACTTAAGAACTCCGGTTGCAAAGAAAGAACGAACCGAACAAACGACGGAAAACAAACGGCGGAAGAAAACAACTCGGTTCTAGCAAGTTGAAACTAGGTCAAATTTTACCGGGGCAAAAACTTGTTCAAGTTGATTAGACGGAACGGCGGTTTCGAGACGAAACTCCAGGCGCTTGAATCACCTGATTCTGATAAACGAGCAAGAACATAAACTAGAACGAAGATCGGATCTGAGATCGCGATCGCGAAATAAATCCGACGAAAAGAAAAAGACGAACGGTTAAACGAACGGGCGTCGTTAACCGGGAAAGAATCGGTGATCACGTTCGTTGAGACGAACGGTCCGAAAGAAGAACGAAAACCGATCTAGGGTTTTCGAAAAAGAAACCGAAAAAGAAAATGGAAAACCGATCTAGGAAACCGGAACGGTTTAGAGAAGAAAAGAATCAAAACGATTAGAAGAAAACGATCCGAGGAAAAGAGACGCGGGGCAACCTCGGCGGGGTCTCGGCGAGCGGGGCTCCGGCGGCGGCGTGGGCAAGGTGCGGCGGTGGCTAAAGCGGCGGCGGCGGCTAAGCGGCGGTGGCGGCTAAGGCGGCGGCGGCGGC